ATATTACTTTATCACTTTTCAAGTTTGACTAATTTGCATATTAAAAAAGTATATTTCATTAATTAACTGTCCTTCATTACTGTTCTTTTCTTCAAGGATTGTTTGGGTTTTCATATCAAAAATAGTTCTGTTTAGAAATATTGTCTTATATGGTGAAGAAAAGTGTTTGACATTTGCATTTTACTTGGCCTTCAACAAGTTGGCATCTATTTGTAAAACTTTCCTTAACTATAACAAGCCTGCCTCCACACCTGACCAAATAATTTCTTCTTTCTTTACAGTGATATTCTTTGAACAAATATATTGAATGTCCACAACCCCTTCAACATTTCATAAATAGTGAACATTAATCCAATAGAAAAACAACTAATTTTTCCTAGAAAAATTCCCAGGTTATGTTTTTTATTCATGCAAATACATATATTTAATTTGTCAACACCTGCTAAATGTTATTCAGTTTCACCATGTTTGATTTGTTTAAAAACGGATAAAATTCTAATGTTTAGCTATCTGAATAAATACTACAAATGTTTTCTTTCATGTTTACAACCAATTTATGAATGAAATGTTCATTTAAAATTTTTGTTTCAAAGATTTCAAGTAGCAAATATATCTTACTTTGCAAAGTGATAGTGAGCGGGCAAAGCCGGCTATAAAAAATATATATCGTTATCTCATAAACATATAAATAATTTTCAATAGAGAAATGCTTTACAACCTAAATTAAATGGCAGCAGAGGGGGTATTTAGAATAAGTGTGTCCTGCGTGTATTGTTCTCTAAAAAAAATAATGACATTTATATATTTGGTTGGTTGCTTTTATTTTTTATTCTAATAAGGACACTTAAAATTAAAAAAAAAAAAAAAAAAAAAAAAAAATATTTTGCTTCTGAAATTCATCAAATTTAAATCAAATGTTAACAGGAGGATCAGAATCAGATCTTAGGTTTCAAAGATTCCTCATTTTATCCAATCTTCTCATAAAATGAACATTTTTCTAAATGGCAATTGCTCTGATGAGCATTCCTCTTTTAGTACCTCGACTTTATGAATTTATGCACAGTAGTAAATTGGCATCATTTTACAGTTGAAATGTCTAGATGTAACCATAGGTCCTATGCTAACGTTTTCTTCTCTTGCCATTCTCATTTGCAGAAGTCTCTTTTGGCTTCTCTCTTTCCATCAACTATGACCTTCAAAAAAAGTTGAATGTAATGTCAATCGTTATCTTAAATCTTGTTCAATTTTATTGCTCGCTCACCCCTAGTGATGTTTTTCTTTTTCTCATATGGTCTCACATTCAGTAACCACTTGCGTCTTAGTGGCTTTATTGTCTTGCATGTGGTGAAATGATGTAAAAAAAAAAAAAAAAAAAAATCCCTTATTTTTTTTTTTTCATTTTTCCAAAAAAAAAAAAAAAATTTTTGAAATTTTAAAAATCAATTATCTTTTCAAAACTTATTTTAAGAAAATCAAAAATTATAATGTTTATTTAAAATATTTTGAAACCAGCATTATTTAGTTTCTGCACCGAAAATGTGTAGTTTGAAAATTAAACAAAGCAGGTCATAAAATTTTGCGTCACTTGACAGATTCCATGAGGCTAATTTGTTCTATGGAAGGAGAAAAGTGAAATAATTTACATTTAAGTGAACAAATTATTTACCTCATTATTTTTAAGGAAAACTTTCAGTGCTCTAATTTTTTTTTTGTACTTAGCTTTCACCTTTACATTTATGATGCTTTATGGAAAATATATTATAAAGAAATTAAAATAAAACTGTTAAGAGTGAGACTAAATTTCATAAGAAAGGTATCTAATTAATTTATAGGTACCTTTCTTATGAAATTTTATCAGAAATGTACACAAAATACTATAATTTTATGTACATTTATTACATTTTACTGTGTTATTTGTATTTGCATTCATTTTATTATTAATTTTGATATTTCATTTATGGAAAAATGTCATAAGTGAGATTAATATAAAAATAAGATCATATAAATTTCATAAGATGATACTGATACTTGTAGGTAACCTTCTCAGTTGAAATTGAAAAATCAAATTAACTTCTCCACACGTGTTTCGCAAAAGTAAAGGACTTAACAGCGGAGAACAATGCTTAACTCAACGCAACTTAATTGTATTCTGGTTGCTCTTCCATACTTTATAATTAGAGCCCGATTATAAACACAAAATTACATTTCTTAATTACTGCAGGTCTTCCGATTAGTCAAAATGATACAATTTACAATGTGGTAAAAAAAGATCTATCTCATAAGGACATTTATGAAAGTGGATGTGGCTTTTAACTAATTTTATATTTTAACAACTTAAATAAAAATCTATTATAATTAAAGAAATAACAAATAATTGTATTAAAAATTCATTTTTCATCGAAAAAATTTTTTGCTTTCAGAAAATATTGTCCATATTCATAGAAACAACTAAAAGCAAATAAAAGCATTTGAAATTAAATATCTTTGTTTTATTGAGTTTACAATTCAGAGCTGATTTTCAGTTGGGGGTGGGGGGTCCAATTAAAAAAAAAACAAAAAAAACAACATGATTTGCATTTCTCCAAGCCTTGTGCTTTTAACTATTCTGTATTCGATCGAATTTCTAGAGTTTTCAAAATTAGTTTGGGTGGGTGGGGGTTGAATAAATATAAAAAAAAATATTTCTGCCATGACTTTAATAAAAAAAAAAAAAAAACATTTATAATAATTTCCATCATCTATGAATAGTTTCTGAAAGTTTCATTAACATCCAACAATTATTTTTATTTTTGCAAGATTTTCCAAAAACGTGCTAAAAATTGTATATGTTATTTTACTAGTTCTGGTGATACAAAGAGAAACAAAGTTTTGTTAATCAAAATTTAGAATGTTCTAAAAAAAAAAAAAAAAATTAATTTAAAAATAATTAAAAAAAAAACTTTGGTCTTTCTTTGAACATTTTAAACGATAAAATTTTGTTTTCAAGTTTGGCGTCTTCATGCTCTTTTTTTTTTTAGCGATCTCGTGGAGTTTACCTAATAAAACTTCATTAGAATTATAATCCATTCAATTCTAAAAATTAAACGGAATTATTAAAATAAAAATAATATTCTAGCCGTGTAACATGCCAACTTACCTTACTTTTTTAAAAATAATTTAAAATATATGGTTGAGAAAAAACATGAGTGTGAAACTTGGTCGACATTTATTCGTGGATTTTCGCGATCATTTCAATGCATGGCTAGAGAGATACAACAACGCCCAACAATGATCCTTGAAGAATAGAATAACAAACAAACAAAAATAAAAACGCTTTGTAAGGTTTATTTGCGGTAAAAAAAAAAATAAAAAATTTTGATATCGAAGAAACTTTATTTTTAACTCCTTAATGTAGCATGTTTAGGTACCATTCCTTTCCAAGAAACTACTAAATTCAAGACCAATCCTACCTACACCTTTGATTTTTCCAACATCCCGCCTTATTCAAGTATTATTCCAGATTACTAGATTTTGGAAGAAATTCTAACACCCAGATTAACTCCACGCTTATTACCTGCTTTATGTTTATATTTAAAATTTTTGATATATAGAAGAAAATTGTTTCAACTACCTATATTTTTTCATACCATTCCTTTATTCAAATAAACTAAATTCGAGACCAATCCTACGCACTCTTTAGAGTTTTCCAACATAACGCTTTATCCGATTTTTATTCAAGACCCGAGAGTAGACACAAAAAAAAAAAAAAAAAAAAAAAAAAAAATCACAAGGCTAAATTTTATATATTCCCTAAATGAGTGTTAAGTTTTTAAGGTGGGTGAGTAGTTTACATGTAAAATCGATGTATTAATGCACACAAAAAAATATTTTGTTAATGTTCTCTATTGTAAAACGAGAATGGCTAAAAGGCTATATGTCATCAATCAAATACGGTAATTTAATGATTGATTTCCAAAAAACATCTCGAAATATCAGCTAATTATTCTTCGACAATGTGAGAAAACGGCACATATAGATTTCTAGATTAAAGAGTTTCTGAAATTAAATATTCATTGTATGAAGCGGCGAAGCCTAGCATCAAACTTTCAAACATCTCATAACCTTCTCGAAGTCGTAACTAACGTCTTAGGGTAAATTACTTTGGGGATTGAGATTTCGTAAATAAATTCGTCTCAAAATGATTCAGGAATTTCGTAGAAAGCACTACAAATGATTCTTTCATTGGCAATTCGCGAGTTAGTCCGGCAGACTATTACCACTGTAATGAATTCGGTCAATCCTCTCCCTGTATGTCTCTCGCCTGTGACTTTAGCTAAGTTTAATTCTTCCGGGGTGGGGGCGGTACTGACCGTAGTGCAATGGGTAAAAAGCCAGTTAGATCAACCATTCATTACCGTGACGTAAGTAAAAAGAAATAAATAAATACCAGCGACTCAACAAAATTCATCTTAACCAGAGGTTTCAAATATTAAAATAAATATACAAATAAAATCTCAGCGAAATATTTTCAGTTTGCGAGGAAAATGATACGTAATTTCATTTAGCGTGGCGAGACAGACGTTCCCAGTTGCCGACATTTAATCTCTGAGTAATTGGAAAGAAACAATACTGCTAAGTGTTGCCGAGTTAAAAAAATTTAATTGCGTGGAAATACAAAAAAAATTTAAAAAAATAAATAAATAAATAACTGGCAACACGAAACTCTCAATTTCAAGAATTAAGGAAAAAAACTGAGTTAGCAACACTGCAGTTGATACATCGCTACAGCTTTTGATGATGTTAGTTAAAAAAAAAAAAAAAAAAAGAGAGAAACCTAGAAAATCCATCCATCTGAATAAAATGTGACTCAAGCAGAGTTTAAAGCGAGAGTCCCATGTGTATATGAGACTACTAATACTATGTTGACTTTCCCCCTTTTGGGAACTCCTCAGATGCCAAAGATTAACACTATCCCTCTCCCAAAGGAAAGGTATTGCCTGAAGTGGGATGCAAATGGGGATCTATGGGCCAGGTAAGCAAATCTCAGGAATTTGACTCAACTTAGACGATTCTCCCCCTTTACTCGCATGTTTACCTCCTCCTGGAGGCAACACAAATCCTAAAGAAAATGAAAACAAAAGGGGCGCGTATATTTAGAATCAGAAAGAGACAGTTGAAATTTCTTGGATACATAGTGATGACAGAGGGCTTGGAAAATTTTACACTCACAGGATATATCGAAGACATAAGAAGAAAGAGGTAAGAGTAGGTGGCCTGACAATCTTATTCTTGTGTAAATGGATGACTTCGTAAAGAGACAAACGTTGCTTAAGGGGTAGAAAGGATAGGAGGTTGTGGGGGGCATGATCGCCCACGTCCTGAAGGGCGTCAGCTCTCTACAACTCCCTATCCTTTGTAGCTCTTACTAATTCTCACCACCTTACTATTTTTGCATTCCATGTTCTGCTATCCATTTGACACAAGCTTGTTAGGTAGGTCACTTGCTGTTTCTCTCTCTCCCTTGTCAAATTGAAATGGGAAATCGAAGAGCCGAGTTCGAATTTCAATTGAGTTCGTTACATATACTTACGCGCAAATGCCGTTGGGGAAGGTATGAATCTTTGTATAAATAAAATTGTTATTCTCAAAAAAATTGTTAATGCAACATTTCCCCCCCCCACAACACACACATATAATAATTCTTACAGTCATATATATATATATTTCAGTTTTAATTAACACACAAAGAGTTCATAAATCATTCAATCAATTCCTATCTGCAATATATCTTTTTTACTCATTATGTAGGTAAAAAATAGCATACACTGATGAAAAAATGCCCCAAACTTAATCAAAACAAAGTTTATTAAATTATATTTTTGATCCTTTTTAGAACGATCGAAATGTTTGTTAAAAATCTTGTTTTTTGTTTTGTTTTTGCATCAGAACAGTGGACGAAGATTAGTATACGAAATTTTAACGACTTCTTTCCAGTGAAAAACACATGTTATAAAGCTTAGTTTAATTAAAAAAACAACTCCTTGGAAAATTTAAATTGCCAATTTCTTTTTGTAAAACAGGACATCCACTTACCGAAAATCTGCTCTGAATCGTAAAATAAAAAAATGCCATAAAATTAAGACATTAATTAGAAAATCTTTTAATTACTTTTATGAATGAGATATATTATGGACACTATGGTCTTAAGAGAAAGAATGGAAAAGCTTGGTACAATTCATCGACACCCAATATTTTAAAATTAATTTTGTGTATATAAACGCGCCGATTTTTGTAAATATGAACGTCCATACACGACATTATCAGAAAATAAGAAGTATATTAAATGTAAACCTAAGTATTTAAAATTCAATAAAACATTACGCAGAATATTTCCCTAATTTTTAAAGATTACTTGGGTACTTAACAATTATATAAAAAAGATGTCCAAGTTATAGACTTCAAGTAAATTTTAAAGATATGTCAACCGTAGAAAAATATTAAATATATTTTTACGCCTGTCATTGAAGCTGTCAGCACCTAAAATAAACAGCTACCACCGTTTAAAAAAAAAATGAATTTCTGCGATATTTTAAACTTAAGTAAATATTTGTTTCAAATAAGATTTAAATCAGCTAATATTCCTCAAATAAAGTTTCAGAAAAGTTTTTATTTTTGAAAGATATTTTAATAAAGAGAATTACATTGCGATGACAGATGGCTAAAAATGTCGCTTAAAATCAGCGTATGCTATTTATTTCAAAACGAAAACTTCCATTAAATTTAAATTAGTTTTGAAATAAAACTAAGTATTTTGCTTACATGAAATATTTAAATTTAATCTATTAGCTTGAAATTAAAACTAAAATCTTCTAGAAAAATTGTGTCAGAGAAATTTCAACTGTTTTTTATTTTCTGATTCTAATCAAAAAATGCAATTTTTATTTCTGCTTTTCTTCCTAGTTGCTTACATGCTCGAAGAGGTAAATTTTTTTAAAATTACTAGCCATACTAAACAGAAAATTGTGCGTAAAATTGAATTTGGCGCTGTTACACTCAGCCAAGATGAAGCAATGTCTACGAGCACAAATTTCCGCTTCTCGAAAGAAGAAAAACACTGTAAAACCAAAGTAAAAGACGCTGCTTCGGGAGTGATACAAGGTCGAGAAATTATTGTTGAGATGAAGTAGTTACTGCTGATTTGGATAAAAAAGAGAAACAAGTAAAGAAAAGAGTCTATATCTCAGGCATTTGATTATTTAATTTAAAAAGTCAAAACAATTTCTGAAAAGTAATGCTGCACCAACTTCTGTCTCCAGGTATTCGAATATTAATGCACCCAGTGGCTGATACAGAGGCAGACAAAGAATAATAAGCATTATTTCGCTAACCTTGTTGGGAAAGAAGGATACTTGCATTACAGTATGTAATGCTAATGAAACAGATGTGTTTCAGAAGAAAAATGCCTTGTCGTGTCTAGACAAAGCAAAATTACCATGACACATATCTACGAATGACATATACTTTTTACTACATGCTTTACGCTTCAAGGGGTTTCAAGCCAAAATGGTAGTTTTAATATACGTACGTCCAATAATTCGCTGAAAAAAGAGCATACATGAAGAAAAAGACCCTAAACTTGATAAAAACAGTTTTATCGTCAAAAAGTTTATTATTAAAAGGAAAAACCAAAGTATTTCTTGATTATTAAATTTTTTTTAATCCTTTCTAGCACGTTCGAAATTTTGATTGGAAATTTTGTTTTTCTTGCGTCGGCAGCAAAAATTAGTATAGTAAATTTTACAGTCTTTTCTGTGTAAGCAAAAAAAAAAAAAAAAAAAAAAAACATTGAATTTGAAATTTTTTGCAAAATTAAAATAATAGTCGGACTTTAATGAAACTTCCAGGACTTGTTCACAAACGAATCAAATTATTTTAGAAACCTTTTTTTTTTTTTTTTTTAGAAAAGATTGGTAGAAATATAGTTTTTTTTTTTTTTTTTTTTTAAATCTGTTACCTACTTAATTTCATGAAATTTCCAGAAATTAAATTTTATCCCTCTTCATATTTATATTGGTTAGGATTCCTTGGAGAATGTAAATCATCAATTTTCCTTTTATTCGAACAGTAACTCACTCATTTGCCGAAAATCTGCTCTGAATCGTAAAATAAAAAAAAATGCAATAAAACTAAGACATTATTTAATTACAAAAGCTTTTAATTGCTTTTATAAATAAAATATATTAAGAATACTATTGCAATTAAAAAAAATGATGAATAATGAATTTTTAAAAGTCTTGTTTTCGATTGAACATATACGACATTATCAAAAGATAAGAGCGATAACTACAACTAAAAATATTTAAAATTCAATAAAACAGTAGATTACGGATAATATTTTCTTAAATTTTTAAGATTACTGAGTACTTTTAAATTAAATAATAGTTATTTCAAATAAGTATATTTTATTCTTAGAAGATTTCTTAAAGAGAATTACATTGCAACAAAAGAAGACTAAAAAAGAAGAAAAAAAAAGGCGCTAATCAATTATTTTAGCGAAAAAAAAAAAAAAAAAAAAATCCTTCCAGTCAAATTTAAATTCATTTAAAATTAGTTTTTGAAATCAAAGTATTTTGCTTATTGGAAATATTAAATTTAATCTATTAGCTTGAAACTAAAATAAAAGCTTCAAAAAAGATTTTTCATTTTTAAAAATTAATTTTACAAGTTATGTATCGTTATTTTTGAAAGGGGAGACATTTTAATACATTATCCCTTCAGAACGAATGCGACCTTGGCTCTCCACAGCTTCCTTTTCCTTTATTATCTGGAAATTGCCACGCGAAAGATAATGAAAGTGGTTTCACGTTATTTTATCCATGGTTCTGAATTCAGATTGGTTCTTTTAAACTGGTTGCCACCCAAGCCTAGGAAGCCCAACTTGAAATGCTTTAAATTGCACAAGACATTAACTCGGACATTGAATTATTTAGAGGAACCTAGCAAGGAATGGACTACTGAAGATCTGCAAGAGTTGGCAATGGAGTTAGAATCGGATAGTGATGTTCAACAGATTAAGGACAGAATTGATGCTGAAGAAATGACATCAATGCATGAAAAGTGAAATGAATTAAAAAAAAAAAAAAAAAAAAAAGTTTGTTAAACTCCGAAATGGCCAAGGCACTGAACGAATTATTTGCACATATGATGACAAAGTGGTTTCATACTTTGAGCAGATATTCGACAAGAACAAGCAGACAACAAGCAATAGTTTAAGTCAATACCTGCATCTAAGCCAAAATGCAACCCATCTTCATCAGTTGATAGTGAAACATCAAACATTGATGATGTCTTCTGCCAATCAATAATTTATACTCTCTTCACGCAACACCACTACTATCAGCTCAGCAACTTTTAGCTATAAATCATTTGTTATCATAAAATATTAAACTGATTACATTATATAAAATGAAAATATCCGCCGTCTATGTCGAAAGAATACCGGAAAAATCGCAACAAATTACGCACCACTTATTTCGAATAACCGCGTTACTTAGGACGATGACTTCGCTACTTATATAAATGTGAAAAACAAAGTCTTAGCAAGAATATAAATGACAAATGGTTATAAAAAGACGCTGTTTATTATTTATTATTTAGTTAATTTGTTTAAATAATGCACTGATAAGTGTTTGCGTCATGTGGCAATATTTGCAAATAAAATAAGTAACCAACTAAACGTTTTAACATTCCTAATTATTGATGCAAAAAAAAATTATTTGAAATAAAAATTTATGCATATCTATCCTTCCGTAGAAAATATTTTCCATTGTTTAAACAGTGGAAAACGGAAAAAAGATAAAATGTCGTTACTTTCAAACAATACTGATTTGTGTTTAAACAAAAACAATGTACATATTCGACCATGTCTTTTTCCTTCCTTAATTTTCACAGTGATTTTATCGTCCGCTTTCTTTTCCTGTTATTCACAATGACGAGTCCCGCAACCCGTTAGGGTCGTAGGGGGAACCATATGTAATGCATCCGTAGCAGCTGTGGTGAGTCTTGGGCAAGATAGTCTGCCGGAGCCCCAGCCTCTCCAGTTTTGTTTTGTTTTTTAATTCAGGGTTTTCCTTCTCCTAAACTGGTTGCCCACCAAAGCTATAGGGCCCAATCTGTCCTGCTATTTACTCATAGCAAGAGAGAGAAGAGATGTAACTTGTGGTCTAACTGATATGGGCACGGAATGAGAAATCGGAGAGCTGAGTTCGAATTCCAGTCGGGTTCGTTACGTTTACCTGGAAAAGGTATGGATTCATTTTTTCTTTCCCTATCGGTTAAATAGCAGGACAGACTAGGTCCTATAGCCTTGGTTGGCAACCAGTCTACCGCAGAAAGAAACGGCAACCTACTGCGGGAAAATCTTCTTAGTCAGTCATGAATCGAAAGAGACATGATCGCCCAAGCGTATATCACGTGATGGCACTTAAATGATTGACTGACTGAGGGAGAAAAGAAATGGATTAATGCCTTTCACAAGAGTATTTGAGTATAAGTGAATGTAATGAACTCGACTGGAATTCGAACTCGGTTCACCAATTTCTCATTTCGGGCTGCTAAAAATAAACTGCCATGTTTCATACGATATCTTTGTCCTTTATCTTTGTATTTTTATGCACGGCTCGTGTTGGCAAGTTATACAGTGGAAAAATAATCTTCATTACTGAAATTCCATATATTAAATTATTCGCTTAATGAATTTTTATAACATATTAGAGGGCGCGTCTCAGAACAGTAACCGGTTACCTTTGTATCACAAACCATTTACATTGATAAAATGTGTAGGATCAAAGTATCTGTCATATCCCCTCAAGTGGCAACTTGAGACTTAAGTAGTTATTAAAAATTGTTAACATTGTTTGACAGTATGCCAATGGGTGAAGATTCTGTATTTATTATCTTGGATAAAATATAATTGGTCACGCAGCCTGATCTCCCCTTCTTAGTAATGATCTATTCTGTTGTCATGGCAACAAGTAGCATTACCACCAATAAACAAACATACCCCCTGTTACCATAACAACGGCATATTTCATTAGTAAGGGAGATAACTATGCTAATATATTGCTTTTTATGAATCTATTCACTTTTAACACTTTCACTGTTGCATTTCTAAACCATTATTGCCTGGCTGTGCTGGTCCGTTTGGGGAGGAAAATAGTAAATTGCCATTAACTGGAAATTAACTATAGACAATTTTTCATGGGACAGGCATTTTGGTTTCGATTGGATACTCTGTAGTACAGGCTAAGATAAACGACATTTCCAAAACACAGTACAAAAAAAATCAATATAAAAAAAAACGCCGTATTGCATGCTACTATATATAAACGCTGCTTACTTTATAACACAAATGCCAGGAACGGCGTCTTTAAAATGTATATATACGTTGATAGCAGGCAATGTAAGTTTCATAAAGACGTATGTGTACGTCCATAGCAATGTTAATAGTTAATGATTTTCTTTTCTTTTTCCTTACATGCAACAGTAGGTAAAAATTACTCATGCAGAAGACATAACCAATGCAACTGCAATGATGTGGCTTACACTCCTGAAGAGTTCAAATTTTAGTTAAGGCTACTTATGTTCACCTTGGGAAGGACATGAATTCACACCCCGGCGAGCTATACCATTAACTGCTACCTTGGCCAAATGTCACGCTACTGTACAGAGAACGGTGTATAAATAACCACCTAAAAAAAAAACTCTTCTAAAACTGCCGCCCAGGTAATAAAATTGTCAACCTTGACTGGAGACTGTATAATAAAGCCAAAATCGAACATGATAAATCTTGCACTAACTGTAATTGTAAGTCTCTGAAACTTACCCGATTTTCGAATGGTTTCAATGGGCGTCTTCAGAATTCTCTCCAAAGCATGGATTCCTAGTTTGCAGCTTTTGTAAAAGGCCGGATTATCATAGCGTTTGTTTCTGACTGCCAAATAAAACGGACTGTCCAACTGCAACATACCGCAAGGACGTTTCTTGGTGAAAGCCTTAAAGAATCGAATCGGACAGCGCAAAGGTTCACTTAAATTAGGCAAGATCCTTGTTCGGGGTCGCTGGTTAATAACGGTCGAGGACAACTTCTGCTTAATTATTCGCTTGTTTATCTGAAGGTACTCTATTCGTCGTGTTTCGCCCGATCTTTGGTCAACCGACCGAAGTTGCACATCGCCCCACTTTAGCTGGTAAGCGTCACTGCTCCCTTTAAATCGCATGGCTTTTTGGTTGAAAAACCACACTGTTCTTTGCAGCGACCATGGATCGTTCATGTTTCCCAAGAACCCCTTCTCCCAAAGTTGTTGTTCTTCTGCGGGCGTCAGAGTTTCGACTGTAATGGGCTTCACGACTTTACCCTGTTCTTTCAATTCTTTTTTACGGGCCCACAAAACGTTCCGGCTCAGCGAGAAGACACTATCATTCAGCACACTGTAAGGATAATTTTTATTTCTCAAATAACGGTCCAACGAATTCTGGAAACTTTTCAAAGAAATCGGTTGAAAATCTTCTCCGTCTAGACGTTTGGTCTCCTTAAAGAAAAAAGCAATCATTTGGTCTAACTCTGGAGGGGACAGACACTCTGGGGGTCGGCTTTCGCCGTGTTCTTTGAAAAACAAAAGAATACGTTTGAGGCATGACTTCGTTTTCCGTTCAGTCGACTCGTTCTGTGTTTGGGAGACGCCTGACGAATTAAGCACTGAATTGTCATCCACTGAAACACTACTGTACCTAATAATACCCTCGCCATCACTGCAGGAAATCGGTTGACCACTGACGCTAATGGGCGAAGAGGAGGAAGCAAATAACTTATCGGCAGTTTTCGGAGTAAGATGACCCATATTGTGAGTCTCAGCCATAGTATTCTGCTCAGTATTAGAGTCCATTTTTCTAAATGTTTTGTTTTTATTAATCTCGTCGCGATAGATAGCAGTTCGGAATACGAAAGTAAGCGAATCGTACGTGAGTCGTGGATCTAAATACAAGAGAAGATCTGGAGTAGGTTACCCAATGTAGTGGTAGTAGTAGCAATAGTAGTTAAGTCAGCGCGATCACACTACAGTAGGATTATCGCACTTGGTGCTTTCTCTTTTTTTATTTATCCTCGCAGGCTGACTGGATGTAATCGCCGCATCACAAGCGACTCGCGTAAGAATACAAGAAAATGTTGATCTTCTCCTCCATCAATTTATTTCCTCAGTCTATTTATATCGGAACGATGGCTAAAGTCCAGTAGCATTTTTTTATGCGTTTTTTTATTTAAATATTTTATGAAGTGTTACAAAATTAAATAATTTCAATCGAAACGGAACAATTGCTGTTCTTTCCTGAAGTGTGATTTTAAATTTAATTATGTCCATTTTTATTGCAATTTTTTAAATAATTTTTTTAATAAAAAAGTTTTTACCGTCTTGAATCTTGTGATGACGAACTATGAATCTCTTTTTACGTTGTCCAACATTACTTACCTAGTTACTTTATGCAGCTAGCTGCCCATATTAATTTAAAAAAGTAATTATGTAAGGAACAAGAAACATAAAATTGACAGGTCCCGCTATTTATCCAAGGTAAATAAATAGTGGAACCTGTCAAATTTATAAAGTTTTTTTTTTACCTAAAATATTGTATAAAAATTGTTATAAAAAAAAAAAAAAAAAAAGAACGCATCTTGTTTTCGAATTAGTTGCGAGTCGTTAAAGCCTTCCTTTTTTTCATGGCTAAGATTTCCTATATTTATTTATTTTTAAAACAAGGTCAAATGAAACACAGTGTCACGCCAAGTAAAAAAAAAACCTGCTTTTAAAAAAATAAAATTAGAAGCCAGGTTTGCTACACAAAAAACCGAAAACCAAAATGGAAGGAAATGAGAGGAAAGTCTAATTGAAACAATAAGAGTTTAAATTTTTCAATGAGACATGAAATATGGCTTATTTATGACGTGTGTGTGTGTGTGTGTGTGCGTATTTTATTTTGTTAATTAATCATGTGTGTACTGTACAGGTGAAGGGGGACTGGTGTTGGTTATTTTGTGACTTAGATTTTGAGAAATGGGTCGTGCCAAGAAGTTTTCTGCACCCTCTTGATATAAAGAAATCAATAATTTTGCCTCGCCGTGTAGCCATAGTAAACAAGTTACTCAACTGTGTAATAATCCCATACCTGTGTGGCCTTGCTGCTTTATCATCAATGATTTCAAAGTAGGTTATTTGTAGCGAAAAAATATAAATTTTGCTTTATTCTATGTTATTTATTATTTTACTACGTAACAAACATTTTTAAATTCTAAAATTTACAATATATCCCCAATAAAAAAATAAAAGTTATTATTAACGCTGACTAAAAAGTAAATAAGTTGACTTATTGCTTTTACTCATAACTTGAAATTTAAACTTAGTTTGACCTACTGGTATATGTGGTGAATGACAACTGAACATATAATTGTAATTAAAAATATTTCAAAATATACTTTTCTGAAACGTTATTTGGGAAAAAATAGCTGATTTTAGTTTAATTAATCCGAATTAAAACAAATATTACTTATTTTTAGTTTAAAATATCACAGAAAAACATTTTTAACACGGAGTTAGAGATGTTTTTATGAAGTGTTAGTTGACAAATTTATCGACAAACTGATGTTTGGTATAAGGGATTAATAACTGTAAAAATTAATTGACGAATATAACGTAAACGCGTTTTTTTATATAATGTTTTTAACTACCCAGTGATCTTAAACATTTAAGAAAATAAACGATGTTATTTAATTTTAGGCTTTGGCTTTAATCTTACTTTAATCTTAATTTACTTACGAAGACGCTTGTTGAGGAAATGCTAGAAAATTACCAATAGATTTTCACTTTGCTATAGTTACCGTTCTTTAATTTCTCATAATGTTGTCTATGGACGTCCGTATTTACAAAAAGCAACACCTTTATACACAATGCATTCAAATTTCTTTAAAATAATGGGGGTAATTGAACTGTAGTGAGCTTTTCCATTTATAATTAGTAAATATATCTTTAATTTAATAACAATATCATTTGACCAATTAAATATTTAAAATTTTATAAATTATTTTAATTAAAATTGAAAAATAGGAAAATAAAGTAAAAATTCATTATTTATCAAAAAAAAAACAAAAAACTTTTTCATAGGACCTATTGCCTATAACATTTTATTCATAAAAAGAAATTAAATGCTTTTCTCATTAAATAATATTGTAGTTTTATTGCATTTTTTTATTTTATGATTCAGAGCAGATTTTCTCTAACTGGGTGTCCTGCTTAAAAAAAAAAAAAAAATAATTTGATGATTTAAATTCTCCGAAGACTTGTCCTTATAACTAATATAAACATTAAGCTCTACAAAAAAGAATTTCTCGAAAATTCATTAAATTAAATGAGTGAGGGAAAGCAATGTAAAGGAAAAAACTTTTTCTTTTTTTTTTTTTTTTACAAAGATTGTCTGAAAAAAGAAACATTTCAAAAATTATTTCATTCATTTTGAATAAGTCATGAAAGTTTTATTCAAATCCGACAATTATCTAATTCTTTGCAAGAATTTACAAATCAATGTTTTTTCACTGCAAAAAGACAGTAAAATTTCCCGTGCTAATTTATGGTCCCGTGTGGACGCCAGAAAACCAAAATTTCCACGGTTTTAAAAAGAATTGAAAAAAAAAAAAAAATTCATCAAAAAACCCTTTGGTCATTCCTCTTAATAATAGCACAAAGTTTTTTACGATAACGTTTTTTATGTATGCTCATTTTTCAGCGAATCTCTGTAGGTACCGATATTGCTGGTATCTCCTGATTAGATATTGTACCTTGAACACTGTCAAGTGCAGTGCCAAATTTTATTAAAATTAGACAAGTGATTCTTTAGCTGGGGACGTTTTCCGATTTTTACGGAATTTTAATAGGAAATTTAGTATTTATTTTAGATACATATTCTTATGAACACTTGCATATTATATTCCAACTATTATGTGTGTGAATACAACAACATCATTAAATAAATTTAAGTATGTATATAACACAACATATATTTTTACAATTCATTACATTAGAACTTTTTTTTTTTTTATAAACAACTACTTGAAAGGTATCACATGATTTGATCGTAAATAATTGATTTTTCTGCCGTTACGTGTATTGAAATAAATGCGAGAAAGAAACAAACAAGTATGTATAATAAAAATATACTTATTTTGAAAAAGATTACTAATGTTTTAACTGTGAAGCCTAGTGGAGCAGTAACCTTTAAATACAAATTAAAATGTAATTAATAATATAATTGATGATATTTTTACCTCATCATTTTGTCTCAGGAACTGCCTTTAAAAGAAACCCAACGAGTTTATGTCTGGTCTTATATATATATATAATGTGTATTTGAGCAGCAATCCTTTTTTTTTATACAGGTTTCATTGAAGATGAATGACAAAGCACAGTAATTAAGATTTATTATCTTTTTCTTGTATGCGTACAAGAGATTTCTTTTTTGGACTTAAAATATGTAAAAACTACCCAAATAATCTTTAGATCCGAGGGATTTCGGCTAATCTGTTAACCATTATCAAGGATGTTTTTGTTTGTATGAATATGTAGAATTTTTTTAAAAAAATATAACAATAGAAATGATTTGATTTTGAAATGGTTACAATGTACTGTGTTCTGGAATTAAAACTTTTTCTATTCCTATAAAAAATATATATGCATATGAGCCTATAGAATAAAAAAATATTTTTAAACCATTGGTTATATAAGGTTAAAGAATTTATTTTTTAAATATAAACAATATTATAAAATAAAATAAATATTTCTAGATTGTATGATGGTTTGTTTTGTTGTTTTACGGCACATCAACCTCAATGGGTCATTTAATGCCGACAATTTTTTTTTTTTCTGGTAATATTTTTGTTGTGCCAAAAATCTATTTCTGTTACTATTTTTTTCCTCAAAAATGTATAGCTGGTAATATTATTTTTCAAAAACGTATAGCTGGTAATAAGATTGTATGAATTTTGGTCCTCCGTACTTATGTAAGTTTTACGCGCGTCTTTTAAATATTGGTGATGAAAGTAGAAGACTACTGTTGATGACCTATGACACTGATGGCGGCTACTATTTTAGAAGAAGCAAACAATACTTCTATTGATTTACATTCCCGTCATTAATCCTTAAGTTTACTAATTTACTTCGAAACAAATCCCTAGGACAAATATTGGATTAATTTCTTTTTCCATTTTTCGTCTTTAATGGAGGTGCGATGAGTCAATGAGTGACTATGGCAATGATTTAAAATGTCTAAAAACATTATTTACGTAAAATTGATTTTCTTTTCTTACGGTCTAGTTTTAGACTATTTCAAATGAAACCAAAATTTAAATTCTAAACTGCGTTTTTAAGTTTTTTTTGTTTTTAATAAATCTTTGGTGGCACCTGTATATAACCGTGAAAACGAACAGCGTATTCCACATACGATTAATTCATTAATGAATAAATACTGAAAATTTCCTTTAAATCTGATAATTTCCCGTTTTTTATTAAATTTTAATACGCTGGTGGAGCGTATCCTTTTCTTTTTTTATCGAAAGTGCGCACGCATTTTGGCGATTATATATATATATATATATATATATATATACACACACACTTTATTTTAGGATATTACATCAAAAACATGTAAAAAAAAAAAAAAAAAAAACACGCTACACAAATGCAATCATGTTTCGATGCGTAACACATCACTAGTTAGTAAATACCTGAATAGAATACTGCTCTACTTTTGTATTGAGCCCTTTTAAACTGAATGTTACGAACGTCGAAATTAGACTCTTTTCGTTCTCATATATATATATATATATATATATATTATATGTGTGTGTGTGTGTGTGTGTGTAACCGTAGTAGAAAAAGAACAATAAAATAATCAAAATAAATATGAGTTTGTCATATTAATATCATTTTAGTTTACGAAACTATTTAGATATTATAACTATTCTTAAGTAGGAGTATAAAAACAAAAAAAAAGTGACAGTATAGACATGCAATAACATTTAATGGAGAGAGCATAGAAATGCCATGTTTACTAACTTTCACGGGTATTGCCAAATACCCTGAACTATTTATTAAGCAAAGAAATTAGTAGTTATTAAAAGCAAAACTTACCAGATATTGTTTTGAATGAAACATTGTATCTTCCTTTCCAACGATACAACCATCCATCCGAGGCAGTAAACGAATCCACATTGAGTTCTTTGGCAAAATACAGAGCTCTAGATTTTAAAATTGCTGCAGATACCGGTACCTTGCTAGTCCTAGCATTCACAAGCCACGTATAACAAGCCTTGTCGATTTGCTCATAAGGAGAGTGTCGTACTCGTTGACGTTTCTGTGAGATAGTGTTGCCCTCCACTGAACCATAAATTTTGGCCCGATTTTGCACCCAATGCGACAATGTTTGCTTAGGTATGCCGTATTTCTTTACTGCAGCAGCAGCTGTTAGACCACCGTCTATTTCTTTTAGAACTTTGTATTTCTCATAAATTTTTTTATTGTTTAATTTTCGCTTTACCACAGGTGCATCCGCCATGATGGTTCGCCGTGATAAGAAATGTGACTGCTTGAGTAGGGAACTCGTTTTACATTCAAAACTAAAATTAAAACACGATGCCAGTAAAATTTTATAGAAGTCCTACTTAAACGGAGAAATTTTGCGACCTGTCCAAAAAATAGTCCCACTTAACGAAAGTCCCACTTCATGGTCCCACTTATGCGGAGTGTACTGTATACATATGTCAGTACATTACCACACAGCAGAATTGGGAAACACAAGGGAGATAATGAGGGTGGGCAACGTGAATGAGCAAAAGTCAAGGGCAAATAAGAAAACTGGAGTAAAATAAAAAGAGGACGAAAGAAAGAGAAGTGATATGGTTGAAAGAAATATATCAACAGAAAGAATTGCAGTCTATAAAGCATTGCCAAAACTGGAGAAAAAACAACCTTAAAACGCATTTAAAATATCTTTTTTGTCGTTTTTATTTTATTTTTGTATTATCAATTAAATAATTTTATATTGCAAAAGTATTTATTTATTCTTTCAAAAAGTGTACTACTATAGGATTTAGTTTTTAAAAACTTTATGTTCTTTAATCAATAAGTATACAAAGAAAAAATTGGGAAAATATTGTCTTCAACTATTTATAAAAAAATAATTATAAATATGTAACTTCATATATATATGCACACATTCAAATATAAACATACATAACAAAACACATAGTTAAATAAACTGACAAGCAGTGTATATTTAAAAGTCTGATAGATAAATCTTCTGAATTTTTTAAAACTATATATATATATGTGTGTGTGTGTTAAAGACCAATGAAAGTTCTTTAAGGATATTTTTTATCATATTTCATTTTTGTGATTTCTGGTGAAAACTTACAAATAAACTTTCAGCTTCCATAAGCCATTATATATATATATATATATATATATATGTATACAGAGAGAGATGGATGAAAAATGGTATATAAATCTGATGTTTTCATTGTATATTTTTGGTCTATGTGATTAATGTTTAACACTGAATTGACAAGGAAGGAAATTATGCTGAAAAATAAATTTCTCGTGTAAAATAGTTTTTTTTTCATCATTACAGTCCAGATACTACACCTTATGCAGGCCTGAATAAAAATATTGTAAAAAAATATTAAAAAAAAAAAAAAAAAAAAAAAAGAAAAACTTATATAAAAAAGAATATTTTTTTAATATAATTTGAAAATTAAAATAATGCAAAATAAAAAAATATTTACTTACCAGTGTTAAATTCAAGACCAACTGGAACCGAGACCTGAGAAAAGAAAGAAAATATGATTTTAAAATTGCTTAAGCTTACCATTACTTAGTCTGGCACAAGACTGCAAGTGAGCAGCAAACAATATGGATCACTACAGTAATAATATTCTATAAGATTAGATTACTAAGAATTGCTCAATGGCAAGACCTACCAAAATTCTGCTTAAAGATATTTATTAAGCACAGCCATGTCTGACACATCAAAATTAGGGAGTATTCAATGAGTATTAAATTCACTATACTATTAGTAGTCAACAAAAATATCTTACTACTACTACTCTAAGGTGAGGCATATCTTAGATTGGTACAAATGTGATTTCAGACTTTTACAGCTAAGACTCACTATACTACATGAACAGTCAAATCACCCACACACAAAAAAAAAAATACCCCTGTAAGGATGGAACAACCAACAGTAATCATGATCTGTGAGACTAGAGCCTGTTAATCGCATGATAAGGTAACCCCATAGGGTGCCTATTGAAGACAGAAGATTGAACAATAAATTGCTCTTTCAGATAAACTCATTAATTTAACTACTCTTTATTTACATTATTTACATTCAAACTATTGTCTTCATCTTTGTTATGTTTCAGATATTATGTCCTCCAGGCATCACTCAGGGAATTTCAAACTGAACCTTTTATTTAATCTACAGATTATTAGATTATCCTTGTTCTCCTATCCATGTCTATGGATATCTCATCTAGTCCTTATTTAGTTAGTGTTCACCCTGTCTCCACTGACGCTGAATCAGCAATACCTGGCCCAGGAATTGAAATCACAACTAATATATTACCAAATTCATGATCCAACCCTTTAATCTACTATGCCATGATAAGGATCACTTTAACATCTTTTGAAGACAACATCCAACTAAATCACAGCTCTATGGAGCCATCCATGGTATTTCTACAATCTTATGCAAACACAAAATGCACTTTGCAGGATATTTCTGACGAGTAAAATATGAACTTCCAAATGATCTACTGCTCAGGACACCTAGCCATGGAGGAATACCAGTTGATCACACAGCTATCATCTACATTGACCAGCTATGTTATGGCACAGAATGCCACCCTAATGACCTTGATGCAGGACTCATGAAAGTCCGAGATAGCTCAAGCAAATTTATAATAATATCATCCTTCCTTGAGTAGCCATTTAAATATTCTCAAATTTTTGTCAACTGGATATAATCCACAACTCCAGAGGGAGACAATATTTAAATTGTAATTTTTTTGTGTTTTTGTTGTTAACCCTGAAGAATCCCTGCAAAATATAGGGCTACAGCCTCACCACACTATGTGAGGTGAGGCTGTGGTAAGTAGGTTTTCACAGGGTGGAGTTGCTAACTCCACACCAAACTGCTCTTGAATTCAGAGTTTTTCTTCTAACCAAAGCTAGAAAACAGAGTTTACCCTGCTATTTAATCCATAGCTTGGAGGAGAAGAGGTAGATTCATGCCTTTCTCAAAGGTATTTGTGCAAAAGCAGATTCAAAAGCCTCAGCTCGAATGTGAATTGGCATATCAATCTTATTTTCTGCACTGATAACTGCCACATGTAAACTGTAAGTCAGCATAATTTTGGAAAAGTTAAGGAAACTGGGAAGAACATAGAAATTAGTTAATTTTATTAATAAAAGAATTACTAAAACATTTTCTTTAAAATCTCATAAAACAATAAAAACATTTTTATACCAGTAGACTCAGTTTAAGTTGAAGGGTCAAAGGCTTTTCCAGATCCAACTGTATTTTTGTCACAGATTCTCTTAAGAAATCCATTTTTTATTGCTAGTGAATTTCCTTATTCTAAAGGGTTTCTCTTTTCATCAATTACATTCGGAATTACTTCTTTTTACCTGTGAATGTTGTCTCACTGCATAAAAAAACGTACCACTGCACTAACAACACTGTATTTAAAAGTCAAACTAATAAGTTAAGGATTTCTAAATGAAAATAAATAATTACAGGAGAAATTTAAAAATTTTGTTTTTAAGATTATAATATTAAGGAGTAATATTTTTATTAATTCCTGACCACTAACAATCCCTTTGTTCATAATTTTCAATGCATTTCTATAGGATAATCATTATCAATGAAATTACATTACAAGTTAGATTTTATTACACAAATCACTTTTCACCATAAAATGTATATTAACCAACCAATGTTGATAAGGTTTTTCCTGGTATATTGGCAAGGTATACATGTACGTTTTAGCTTATAGTAGCTATTCCTATTAAAAATATTGATAACTTTTTTTTCTGTGAGCTGGTTACATTTTATTATGTAATGAAAATGCAATATGAAGTTTCATTTATAAATAAATTCAAAAGTCAGAGGCCAGAGAAACAGGTCTTGGAGGGGTTAATGTATTAATGCCTACCACAAAATCCAATATTATAAAAATTAAGTGAAAATCTAGTACAGCAGAGAGCCAAGTTCCAATTCAGCTTGTTATATTCATTTATATACAAACACCTTTGAGAAAGGTATAAACTCACTTCTCCCCCCAGCTATGGGTTAATTAGTAAGACTTGTATCACTAAATCACTATAACCTTAAAAAATATGTTTTCTGGTTTTTAATAACTGGCAAAAAGATTGACAAGCCATAAATAAAACATTCATGAATCTTTAATTGTTTCTACTGTTTCAGTTTTTTTATTTGTAGTAATTTTTATTGTTTGCCAGAGATGTTCTTTGCTTGGATATTGTTTTTGATTCTTAAATACATCTTTTAATGATGAACCACAAGTTTTCTGTTGTATTAATATCTCAAGTGACTGGTGGCCATTCCATTAATTTGGTGTATTTGAATCATTTTTGGCAAAGTGGGCAATTATCAAATTTACACAATGTGAAAGAACATTACATGAATGTAAGCTTTGATGGATTTGGTTAAAAATAATTCTTATTTCTATAATAATTACACTTCTATTAATAAATTCATTTCCAGTGAATTTCTATATATGATGTGTCTCTCTATATGTAATTATTAGAGTGAATCATAGATTTGATGGATTTCTTTAATAATGATATCTGATGCATTTCTATAGTAAAATCGTTTCCAGTTGATTTTAGTATATGTTTTTCATAATTTTTTAACATTTCACCCCAAGCAAGACAATACAGCCATTAAGTTACTGAGTAAAAACACCTGAGAAAACATTGAGGGGAGAGGACAAGAAAAGAAACAGAAGATGATGATTGATGGTGTATTTGAATTTTTGAAAAGCATAGTTGACAGGAAAGCAAGAAAGTGGAAGAGATTTTCACAGATGAGAGTTTTAGCTGTGTCACTAGATATATAATCATTAGAGTGAAGAAAGTTGACAGATTTTTTTAATAAAGAATTCTAATATATTTCTATAGTAAAATCATTAACAATGCTTTGCATTGGAAATGATTTTTCAATTTGCAGTGTCACGTATATGTTATCATTAGAATGAATGAAAGTTTTGACATTTTCAATAAATCTTACCCATCTTATATAAACAGCTTTTTATTGTAAAATTTAGAATATCTGATGACAAAGTAATACAGTAATAAATGACACCAAAAATTTGGAAAAAAATATATTCTTATAAAAGTAGATCATGTGCCTTATCATGGAGCAATGTTTAATAAGTTAGTCTAGCAATGTAGTGAGTTCAGTCCTGACAGAGAACACCACAATTGTGGCCTTGTGCCAGATTAAACTTGCTGTAGGATAATAGTGCAGAAACTAGTCTAAATCATCATAACTGTGTTGTGAGTTCGATCCTCAGAGTTCCAGACCCGTAGCCTTGTGCCAGACTAAACTGCAACTTAATAAATAACAATTAGACTGGATTGGGTTAAAACTGCAACATCAAAATCCAAATAGGAAAAAATACTTTTATAAATATTTACTTAGATGTGTCAGGCACAAGGCCACAAAAGCTGAGCACTTTGGAATGATAAAACTCTACATTAGAGAAAAAACAGAAGCTTGTTAATCATCACTATAACAGTCATCTTCAAGTGCATGCTAACATTTACTAAGCTTGGCTTAGTCTGGCACAAGGACATAAGGAGTGGTGAACACCTCAAAATTGAACTCATTACTACACAAGTGAAGAGAGTGGCTAGCTTATTAACCATGATACTGTGCCAAGCATCCTAACATGTATGACAACATTTACTAAGTTTGGTACAAGGACATGAGTAGTAACTTTTTTTTTTTTAACTTGGTTCTACAGTCAGCAAGATCATTTCTCAATAATTTGAATTTCACTTTCATTTAATTACTGGACAACACAAATTAAAAATTAAATATAGAAAATAAATTAATGATTTATTAATTACTAAGAAACAATTCTTAACTTATTCCAACCAGTATCCTCATCTTTGTTGTTCTAATTTCTTTACCAGTGCACTCCCATAATTGAACGCACTTCCTTGTAGATAGCTCTCTACAGCTCCAAATGTTAGATCTTTTGCTATAAAAAATTAAAAAAAGGACAAAATCCAAGGAGAAAAAGGCTGTGTTCAATGCCTGAGATACAATTTCAAATCATTACCTAGGCAGGGTGTGAACAGACCCTCCACCTTTCAGCCAAAGTACAATTAAAAAACCTTTTAAGCATTTAGATAAATTTTATAAATAAGAGGTCCAGATATTTTAAATTAATCATACAATAAACTTAAAAAAAACTTAATTTTTTTTCATCTGATTTTTTAATGTCTTCTATCTCATTCTTTAAATATTTTTTTTATTACATTTGTACCCCCCATCCTACTCATGGATCCGGACCTACAAAGGATGCTGAAAATAACTAGAATAAGAATAACATACACCCCTCTTACTGTTATAAGGTAGGATAAAAACAACAAAGATGAAGATGTTTGTCAAAAATGTTAAATTAACAATGCCCTCTTTCTTAATTTCAGACAATCTATAACATAAAAAAATAGTGTAATTTATCCGTTGCACAGCCTGATTTCCCCTACTGGTGATATTCTGTTATGGTAACAGAAAGCATTATTCAACACTAATAAGGTAACATGACTCATATTACTATAATAACGGATTATTTCACTAAGCCAGGTTACTGATATTTTCATTTTTATTTCTTTTTGCTTTGTGTTAACTGTCTCCGGATATTTTTTACTTTTAAAAAAGACATTTTTTACATGTGACGATAGAATGACTTGTAAAATCCTAGATTACTCATGCAAAAAATATAACCAAATGCAATTGCAAAATTATTTAAATATGGCCGTCATTTTTTTGACGGTAAACGTTTACTCAAATAAAACAGTCCTGCAAAAAGCAAAACTTACTGGATCTGGGTTAAATTCCCTCATACTTTCTATCATAGTTTTACGAGCACTGTGATTGGTAATCTTGCCAGCCCCTCTGATGGGTAAAGCAGCTTTGGTGAACATCTTTTTCATCAGGGATTTAAGAGTATTGATTCCCAAAGGTTGACATTTAAACCAATCAGGTTCTTTACTGTTGTTTATGGCAAGATAAAACGGGGAATCAAGACACTTCATGGCAACAGGTCTCATAGCAGAGTACTTTTTATATACAGCCACCGGGTCGCGGGGATTGTCTGCATTGTTGGAAATAGCCCACATTTTGGGAGTCACAGAGCCGATAGTTCTTAGATCGGCGCCTGAGCGGACCTTCATTTGTCGCTCGTTGAATTCGCAATACTCCATTCCATTGGAGGCAGTACGAAGAGTTACGTCGCCCCATTGAAGTTTGTGCTGCTCCGCGCCGGCCCTCATCCCAAAAAAGCGAGTGACATTCCACCAAATGGTATTCAATAGAGCTTCAGCATTGTGCATACCAAGAATTCCTTTTGTGTAGAGTAGTTCTTGTTCTTCTTCAGTAATAGCTCTAGCCGCGTTGGGCCGATTTCCTTTACCTTGTTGTTTAAGTTCCCTCTGCTTCGATCGTAAAGCCTCCCGGGCTTTTTCAAACCTGCACTCGTTAAACAACGAATAACAATAGTTGTTCATTTTAAGATAACGCTCCAGACTGGCAAAAATACTTCTTAAACTGCATGGCTCGTACTGAGACTTGTCTTTTTGTCGAATTGTACTTAAAAATTCGGCAATGTAGCTATCTAGAACATCGGATTCAATATCAAGCATTGACCTGTTCTCGTTTTTCGTATTCAACAGGAAATTCATGAACAGGGTTACATCGTGACGCGTTTTCTTGGACGTATTACTGTTTTCAGACTCCATTTCTGGACGGCTATCACTGTCTTTCACCTCGGTCACAAGAGTCCCGGCTGAAAAACTCTGCAAGAGTGAAACCGCTTGGAGCACGTCCTTGTTGTTTGCAAACGACGCCATGATGACTCATTCATAGAAATAGTGCACGAGTTCCGGTTATAGCACCTCACCACAGATGTTATAGCACGGTGGGCTAACATTCTTTCCTCCCGCGCCGCCTTTCTCTCATATAGCGGGAGGCCCGGCATATTTATTTCCTGTTGTTAAGTGCTATGCAACCACTACAATCAGACAAGGCATTTGATTTTTTAGAAAATCAGACTTTGACAAAGATAAAAATAACACAGAAGAATAAATTTCTTTTATTTTAAATTTATTTATATTGCTAACAGAATAAAATATTGCATTTCATCGACTGATACACACAGCTGACTGGCCACGTCTGATATAACGTCGGAGAAGAGAAGAGAAGAGATATATATGCACTCCAACTACAAACAGAAATGACTGGGCTATATTACAATGAGAAAAATACGATAACCATTGGAAATAAATATATTTTTAAGTTAAAAAAAGAAAAATTTAATTTAAAAATCAAGTTACACAGTGAAAAATCTTTCACCCATTTTTTTTTCGTATCTTCACAAGGTGTACGTAAATTAAATATAGTATTTTTTAAAATCTCAAAATTTGCTCTAAAATGCAGGTCAGTATTTAATTCACGAACAAAAACAAAGCAAGCAATAACATTTCATGGGACTATTTACATTGAGTTACAATAAAACAGAACTCAATTTTACGTACAATACAACAACACTGACGTTTTATCGCAACATTATACTATTTTGTACTGGCTTTCAAGTCAAGTAATTTGGTTTTCTGAATTTATTTGCAGAAGATAAATATCAGCGAACGGTTTTAAACAGTTTCTAAAAAAAAAAAATAATAATAATGAGAGAGATTTATGATTTAAAATTAAAAATAATACACTTTTTTTTTTTTCACACACAAACTTTTGTACTGAAAGATTTCACAAAAAATATAAAGAAAAAAAGCGTCTTTTCTGATTTAAATAAAAAAAACTATACGAAATGTTAAAATAGTTACACAGATAAACCATATACTCTTTTCACAAATATATTTTATTTTAATTTTCTGAATTTTTACATAAACACACACACACAACCACAAGGGATTTCCAAATGACCAAACATCAAAATTTGGATGATGGTGGGAAGGACTTATGGATCCAAGACCATGTCTGTACAAATACATTTTGTGTACGTAATTTAATTAATTTGCTTGTATGGATTTTTAGATAAGTACACATAAAAAATTCAAACAAAAAAAACATTTACGAATTTTCAACCAATCGCATTTGAAAAACACTTCAAACAATTCAAAAACACTTATAAACTTGCATATAGTACATTCACTTCAAATCGACGCTAAGTTACTCCTTAAACTGTTCAAAGAGAAAAACAAAACGAAATAATTAGAGAACAGTCACCGACAACTAAATCTAAAAGGCCTTTTTATGTCAATAATAGCCTTGATGAAAGGAAGCAGGGAAGTCATGAACTTACGATATATATCCGAAACCTGTTCATTTCTAAACATTTTCAAATTTCTATTTTTCCTATGAAAACACATTGACAGAAAATTAACTCACACTCCTAGAAAAAAAAAACTGTTTTAGAAATGTAAATAAATATATTGCACTTGTAAATAATCAAACAAAAAAGTTTCAAATTCCTTGTTACAGTACACTTACAGTGTACTCTGTACATCCATTACAAAAAGGGTCAAACAAAATATAAAACAAAGATCGGGTTGGAAAAAAAAAAAAAGGGTGGACCAGTCTAAATTCTTATGGATAATGCTTTTTCAACGCAAGCATTCTTTGAACTTTGTAATTAAAGTGCGCATGTCAAGAGACAGCGCATGAATAGCAACATAAAATTGAAAAGGATCAACTTTCCGCTTTTTGCGGATATAAGTAATCAATCAAACGCCATAAGTTGATACAATATCCGTCAAACTTAGAGTACATTTGATATTTTTTGTTGCTATATAACCTATGTGGTGTAATGATGGTTAGCCAACTGGATCAATTACGATTGAGTAGTGAGTTCGGTACTCTATTGTGGCACAATGAAGTTATGCTTAGCTTAAAAATCGCTATATGTTGAATTTCTTAAGTTTTGTTTCATAAAATTAAAAGTGGTGAAACATGTAAAACAAAATATTTTTGCAAAAATTTTTTTAATAAGAAACATTTCTAAAATAATTTGGTACATTTGTGAATAAGTCCTGAAAATGTCATTAAAATCCGACAATTATTTAATTTTTGCAAGAATTTCCAGAATGTGTCTGTCACCGCAAAAAGACTTAAAAAAAAAAAAAAAAAAAACGCATTTCGTTTTAGCGTTTTAATTTATTGTCCTTTTTTCTTTTTTTTTACTCTTTAGTCTTTGTCGTTGTTTTCGTTTTAAATTATTACCAAAGCATTTCGTTTCCAATGGAACTTTGTCAAGGTAAATGTGGAAATTTTATTTTGTAACTTGCATTTATTTTACTTACGAGTTACAAAATAAAATTTTCATATTTACCTTCATTAAGTTCCCTGTTAGTAAAGGAAAGGCTAATAAATAAACACACACACGTATGTGTTTTTAAACTGCTTTTGTTTAAAAAATATTTGCCAAAAATCAGGGGTTTTTTTTTATCCAATTCAAACGGATTTTTAGTACTTATTCATTATAATGAATGGGGTTAAACTCAAAAGCTTCGTGGAAATTTTCGATATTTCGCGTATACGTTTTAATTGGGGAGGGGGGGTGTCAAATTTTTTTAAAGAAAAATCCCTAAAGATGTTTTATTTCAATAAAAAAAAAAATAAAAATGCAATATCAAGTGTAAACATACGGAAATTTCGTCCCGAATCTTACCAAAAATAATTCAAAAACTCAAAATAAATTTTTCTGATAATTGTTGCTTGCATGATACGTTGTTTTCTTTCAGATCCGACAGAAAAAATTTAAATTTATTTATTAAAAAAAAAAAAAAAAAAAAAACTTAATTTTTAAATTCAAGCCGTTATTGTTTGTCACAAGATTTTATTTTATTAAATAAAGACATGTTTGACGATTAAAAAAATGTAAATTATTAAACTTACCATTGTCGTGTGTGAACGTTTCTTAAAAGAATTTTATTCTTTTCTTTTAACAACTGTTAGATTATTTTTGGTATGGATGTAGAAAAAGGAAAATCTCTGATATCTCGCGTTGACTGACTACTATACTGAGGAGTATTAAATCTATTTTCATATCTCCCGTTCAGTCAGTATACAAAATAAAATTATTAATTTAAGTTTAATAAAAGCGCATAGAATAAAAAAATATATATTCTTAAATTATTGGTTATATAAAGTTAAAGAAAATTTAGTTTTAAACGTAAATAACAAATTCTTGATTATTGCACTGCTTGTCTTCCGAACTTCTTTAGGGTTTATTTTTACTTTTTCCTGCGCTTTTTTGGACAGGGGTAGAAATTAATGTTTTTCTACCCTGTCCTTTGACCTCACAAACTAGTAAGCTTAAATAAACGTTTTTTTTTTCTTTTTTTAAGTAAAAAGGTAACAATTACTTTTCGAAAATCCAATTAACACTTAAATTTTACTAATAAACTTTGAAACATCTCTAGAGAACAAATGTTGGCTTTTAAAGAGAATTTTAAATTTGTTGTTTACATTTTTCATATACAATGGCGACTCCATACGTCGATGAGTGACGAAAAAATTACTAAATGCTTTAAAAATGCTTAAAAAGTTTATTTATCTACTTAAATTAACTTTTCTTTTAATTCGGATTAGCTTTAGGCTATCTTTCAAATAAAACCGAAATCTAAGTTCAAAGAAGGCATTTAAATGCGTTTTTCGCTTTGTTTTGTTTTTTTAGAAAGTCCGTGGCGATACCTCGATGTCTCGTTTACCAGAGTGGAAGAATCAATTCAAATCCAAGAATCCAGTGAAGGAATTAAAAAAAAAAAAAAAGTACTACTCTTCCTTACTTGAATCATGTTTCATGTCGGTAAATGTTAGATTTTGGTCTGGTGAATTTTTTTTTCTGATGACACCAAGAATATAACAGTGAAGTAATTTATTTTCTTCCAAACTGTCTCCTCCAACTTTACTCATATTCATAGGTGTTTGTAGATTTAACAGTAACACACACACACACACACAAAATATATAAATTTTTATATATCAGAAACAATGCTGAGTAATTGAATGACAATATGGAAAAATTCTAACGCGTTTCATCCTTTAAAAAAGGATTTCAACGGACTAATGAAGTAACGTTCTCATTGATGTTGAGAAACGTAAAGTCGGATAACGCAGTGAGGGGAAACATTGAAACGCTAAATTTGTACGCTTTTTTTTTTAGTCAAGTCGAACACAGAATTTTTAAAACATAACATTATTTATTAAAAATATTTACAATTCAATCAAAAAATATTACTTTGAACTTTAGCCCGATGAAGTCGTTTTATAGGACGAAACGCGTTACATAGAAATTTGTTTTCACTGTCATTCAATTACC